AATATAGGCTTTGTAACAGTTGTAACGGTAACCGTTACAACTGTTACCATTAGCACTCCTTAATGGCCATTAAGGCCATAATAAATCTTGCACCAATCATGATAAGATGTTACATTCTCCCACTTGGTGCAAGAACAAACTTAAAGAAACAAAATACATGAACCATAGAGATATGTCATCTTAATACGAGTAGTATCTACTATAATCACAATTTCTCCCACTTGTTCTTGCACCAAGTGGGAGAATGTAACATCTTACCATGATTGGTGCAAGATTTATTATGGCCTTAATGGCCATTAAGGAGTGCTAATGGTAACAGTTGTAACGGTTACCGTTACAACTGTTACAAAGCCTATATTGATGGTTAGATAGGCTATATAAGTGAGGTCCTCCCACTACTCAAGTACGGCCATTCTGACAAAACATACATCATCCTATTATACTTGAGACTAGTGGGAGACACTCTGCCCAAATCACTGCAGAAACAACTAAGGTATTCTACACTCATCAAGGCAAACTACAGCAATTACAAAGCTTTACTAAGAACAACTATGGCTGGAGGTTAGTTTATGTTTAAATATTCTTACACATGCAACTGTGCAAGCCTTGATAAACAACAATTTATAGAAGACATCATAAATGTGTCAACCTGTAAATAAACATTACTTTTATTAAGGCTTGAGAAAGATGAAAGAAGCTGGGAATTATTCATGTGTATGAACTTGGAACCAATATTTTACCTTTTGTAATTCATTAGATTTAATGTTATCCTTATGAATTCAATAATATCTTAAACATTCACTATTCGTAACAATGAACCTACAATGGATATTCACAGGAGAACATTAGGCAATAAAGAAAACTTAATTTTCCGAAAATTAGATTAAGTAAAAAAGATTGCATTCCAAAACATATAATTTAGATTGCTAAGAAGAATTTTTTTAATTTAGTAGCCTGTGAATGAATAAATATTTAGAATTGTAATTACACACTTAAGCAATAAAGTTAATTAAAAAAATAGGCACAAAGCAATTAAGTTTTACAACACTCAGATTAAGTAAAAAAGTTTGCATACCAAAGCAATGAAGTTTTATTGCTAATTAAATAGGGTAAGTACTGCAAATTTGATTAAGTAACAAAGATTGCATAAACTCTACATTTAGTTAGGGGTTTCTACATTAACAATGTAAGGACATATATTTCGTACTAAAAATAAGGTTAATCCTAAAAGTCCCCAAAAATATGGAACTAGAATATATTATCATTTCACAATCGGGAATGCAATGTATAGAAATCTATGGAAAAAACAATATGCAGACCTTAGATCTATGAAAATAAAAGCAAAAACTACAAAAAAATGGATACTAAGCTATAGTGCTAGATGTTTTATATAATATATAACTTTTAGCTATAATGTTCTTTAATTACATGTAATTAATTTTTTTAAATTTTTTTATTTATTTTTTTATTATTATTTTTTTGTATTTGTAGAGAATGAATTTTTGAGCCAACGAGATATTACAAAACCGTTTCAACGAGAAGATTTAACTGTCCAATTAGTGAGTATTTCTGTGCTTTGTAATAAAATATATAAATTCACTTCTATTTTTTAACAATAATTTATATTACCTTCAAATATACATATTATACTATCAAAATAATAACAAATTCCCAGTTATTAACTTTAAAATATTTATAGACCGTGCATCGCACGGGTGGCATACTAGAGATGTCAATTCTAGATTTTGAGAACTATACATATGATTGTGATGCTCTAAAATAGGAGAATGAATTATTGGTTAATCAATTAACAGAAGAGCATAAGCTAATATACGATGAGGTTATATGAGATATTGAAAGCAGCGCTGGAGGGTTATTCTTTGTTTATGGATATGGAGGTACTGGTAAAACGTTCTTGTGGAGAGCACTGTCTTCGGCTTTAAGGTTTAATGGTGAAATTATTTTAAATGTTGCACTTAGCGGTATAGCTTCTCTTTTATTACCAGGGGGAAGGACTGCCCATTATAGGTTTGTCATACCTATCACCGCTAAAACTTGCAACATAAGTCAAGGTAGTCCATTGGCGGAACTCATTATGCAAAGCAAATTGATAATATGGGATGAAGACCTAATGATGCACAAATTTTTCTTTGAAGCTTTAGACCGGATAATGAGGGATTTGTTATGCTCCAGAAATCCGAATAGTTATTATATGACCTTTGGTAGTAAAACAGTAGTGTTTGGTGGGGATTTCAGACAAATTTTGCCAGTAATTTCAAATGGCACAAGACAAGATATTGTTGGGGCAAGTATAAATTTTTCCTATCTTTGGAGATCTTGTAAAGTGGTTAAGCTAACTAAGAATCTACGCCTAAGAGGGATACAATCAAAGATTGAAGCTGAAGAGATTGAAGAGTTCGCAAAATTGATAGCTAATATAGGTGATGGAGTAATTGGTAATTCAACTGACGGTAGAAAAATATTACAATACCAGATCACTTATTATTGAAGTGTAACGATGATCCTATTGTTGCAATTGTTGATAGAACCTTCCCTTTGTTTCGAAGCGAAAACGGTGATCTGTCTTATCTTATGAATAGGGAAGGCAATTTGCCCCATCCCCGACGGGGATCCCCGATCCCCACCCCGACGGGGATGGGGATTGTGAAAATTTTCGGGGAACGGGGACGGGGATACCCCTCCCCGCCCCGTCCCCGAATAATTTTTATAAATAAATTAGTAAATAAATAAATATATATATATATATATATATATATATATATATATATATATATATATATATATATATATATATATATATTATTTTTAAAATTAATACTTAGGTTTAGTTTTAAAAATTAAAAATTATAATAATTTAAATTTTTGACTAAGAGTTGAACGAGGACGGGGATTCCTAATTTCCTGCGGGGACGGGGATGGGTAGTACTTTCAATTCCCCGCGGGGGATGGGGACGGTGTTACACCCCACTTCTCTTAAACTTAATTAATAGACTAAACCTTTAAAGATAATCTAAAGAAGCGGAATAAACTTTACTAATCAACTTAATAGAGGTGTCATCGCCACAATCGCCCTTCATGGTGATTGCACATGCTAAAGATAAACAAACTAAATCATAAAAGGAAATCAAATATCATGCAACTATTCAATGCGGCTAGTAATGATTTTCCAAAATAGATATAAGTTTTCGAAAGAGTACTTAGGCTTTCTCTAAGCCACTTATGCACTTTAAGTCATGTTATGCTCGAATATGCAATTTACTGTAAAGCATACTTCAATTTCGATTCGCTGTGAACTCTCAACAAATTCTTAGACATGCTTGTAATTCATAATTAACCAATCTTCTTAGCAAACTCTTAGCAAGTAGTCAACATGCACTTGAATTCAAAATACTCAACTTATACTCATATACTGCAAGTTTAGCATTCAAGGAAAATATGCTCTGTACACTTCTACACATGTGATACTGATGCGCAGTATATTTGCAAACAAATAATACCCGGAGTATCGGGTAATCGATCCACAGGGAAGTGGTTGTATCAAGCACTAGTAACTAATTTATTCTTCAAAGCTAATCCTAACAATTGACTTGGATGATAGGTTGCATAAAATAAATAAAGTAAAACAATGATTCAGGAGTTTCGAAAACATGGGAAAAGACTGAGATTCCTGGGATTTAAGTGTTTATTCCCCTAATGCCTAACTTAATGTAATATTAAATCTGGGTTCATACGAGTGTAAGGATGCAAAGCGGTTAGAGCTACTCCCGTAGTCACTAATACTGGTGAATATCAACTCCCGTGCGATAATCACCCAATAAAAATAGAACAAGCATCATAAATTCCTAACTACTACCATCCCCCGAACTGGCAATAATCAAGAATTAAATCTTCCTAATAAATTACCATTTCCCAAGGTGCAACAATTAGGTGCAATTGTGTATGCCCTAATTTATGCCTAACTCCCGTTCTGACATGAATATGGCTATGAAGCAAGTAATTACGGTCATTTAACTACTAACAACAACAATACAAATCACTATTGCAACACAAGTATTAAACCCAAATAATAATATATTAAAGAATCTGAGAGTTCAGGCACATAGGTTCATAAACACTTTAACCCAAGAATCTCTAAAGAATTTAGCCAAGTATGGCTAAATTATACTTAGCAAATATAAATAAAGAATTACAAATCATCAAAAGAGTACAAGAATGAACCAGACAATTCTCCCGAATCTCCCTAATCTTCTTCTTGCTTCCCAAGATAACTTGTGGCTCTTGTTTTCTCCCTATCTTGTCTTCAAAAATCTCTGAATGAATATTAAAGTTGAGGAAAGTGGGATTTTATAGTGGGAATCAAGGCGGGACGACGTCGTAATTTAATTTCTTAAATTAGGATTGCCGCCCCTTTAATTTATTTAGAAATCTGTGATGTCCTTTTCCTATTGTAATTACATTGCTTTTTCTTTGGAAATTAGAGCCAAACACTTTGATTTAAATTGCTGTACTCCCCTTTTGTAATTAGCTTGAAAATTCCGCGCCACCTATTGTGATTAACGACGCTGCATGATGTTCGACTTCGACGCGTCGAGCTAAATGTTGCAAATTTAATCGGCATACTGCTAAATTTTGACGCGTCGAGAGCGGGACTTGACGCGTCGAATCTTCTGAGCTCCAAACTCGTCTATTTTGGTTACAAACTCGTCCTAAAACTTCCCTTGCTCATAGAATTGACCTATAACGGTTCAAAAACACTAACAAACACCGTAAAACATTCAAAATAAGTGTGAACTATAACTAAATGATAAAACAACGGATTATGCAATTAAATTACCATTTTCACGGAATTGAACCCAACAAATATAATCAATTTAATACTAGAATTGTGCACAATTAGGCTCACATCAGATACTCTTGGCAAAATTCTCAACAAGTCATAATAGACATTTAGGCATGCTTTTCTAGCAAAACTTAACAAATATTGATCATCTTTCAGTATCTAACAACCATATAATTGTCATGCTTCTAAAACAAATAGCCAAGAGCCAACACTTAACATTTTCATTTACTATAAATACTCTCAGACAAAAACTGTAGCATTCATCTTCACAAATTCTAACACAAAAAGCTCATTTCTACTCCAAATTCAATGAAATCAAAATCCATTTGTGCGTCATGATAGCCCCGAGTGTCCGAGCCTTAAGGGCCCGCGAGTCCTTGTCCGAAACAACACGTTGCTGAGCCAAAAGGGCTCGACCACTGCACATCTTCTGCTTGGCGGAGCTCTCGGCGGGGCTTGGGATGGCCCACCTTCTAGCTCCGCCCTTCCACGGCTCAGGGTCACGGCCTTCACCAAGGGTCGTGCCCTGGGGCCGCCTACTCATGGGGCTAGCCAACGGCTCCTGCCTAGGGCCGTTGGCTAGGCCCGTGAGATTATTTGGTGCACACTGCCTTGTGCACCAGATGGTTTGTTTCACCTGCAAAAAATTATTTCAGACATTCTAACACTTCCAAAACCTCAACAACTCATCATAGATCAACAATAGATCACTTAATAGCTCAAGCAATTCAATAAACTAGCATTTCTACTCATTTCTACCACAAAAATAGACTTCACAGAGTCTAAAAATAAGCTTTGGGAGTCCATGAGTTATACCTTTGTAGCCTCTTCTCCTAGAATGGATCTCAACCTCCTCTCCTTTCAAGGAACTCCACTTCCTTCACCACCTAAACACCCAAGCAACCACAACACTAGGCCTAAGAACTTCAGAGATGGGGAAGCTAAGGAAACAGCGGAGTGAAGAATTGAAAAGGGAGATACTTACTGTGAATGTTTTCTTATCAAATAACTTGGAGAGGCAAGATTTGAGATCAGGGAGCTAAGGAGTGAATAAGGTGGGTTTTATAGGGTACAAAACCCTAGGAGATCTCTTTATGATTTGTTGATGATAAAGATGAGATTCTTGATTGGTTCAAGAAAACATCAGACAGTGCTTGTATGCTTGTGGTCCACCATGCTTCATGAACCATGGTCTAGAACCAAGATTTAAAATAGTTTTGGGGTTAAAATGAATTTTCCAAAAATGACTTCTAGATGAACACTTGATTTAGGCTTCTCAGATTCCTCTCGGTCTCAATCAGAAAGGTTTTTCAGTTCAAAACTTGGTGCGCAATGTACCCGAAAATCTAGGATTTTAGATTTAAATCGTGTCTTAGTGTTGAATTTATTTTTAAAATGGCTCAAAATAATTTATTTCAACACCGATTTCATCGCAAAAATTTTATAGAGTGAAAAATGGCTATTTGGAATTTCTTAAAACCAAATTTATAAAATTAAATTTTGGGTTGTCACAAACGGGGACGGAGATTGTACTCCCCGCCCCGCCCCGCCCCGTTGCCATCCCTAAGCGAAGATCTTGTGTGGTACAAATGCAGGCACAAAGGTCTTAATTCCCCGGATATCACTAACACCGTTGGATCCAAGATTGCCTTTCAAATTCCAACAAAGCAATTTCCTCTAATGTTATCTTATGTCATGACAATAAACAAAAGCCAAGGGCAAACACTCTCAAAAGTGATATCGTTTTATCAAAAAACTGATCGAAAAAGATACTTTGAACATCTTTTTTTATTTTAGCATTTTGGAGCAATAAGTTGTTAAAAAAGCTAATTATCAAACACCCATATTGATTGTTTAACCAAGTCAAACGGCTAATAGTGGTCAAATAAGTCAAAATAGACTAATAGGCTAACTATTACTCCCTCCGTCCCGAATTGGTTGTCTCATTTGCTTTTTGCACGCTTTTTAAGGAATTAAAGTAAATGTTATGTATTTTTCAATTATGCCCTTCACTTTTTCACTTTTGGGAATAAAAGCAAAAGTCATAAGGGTAATTTGAGAAAAAGTAAAATGATGGTGATGTTCAATTTTGGAAAGAGGACAACATTTTGGGACAAACTAAAAAGGAAAGTAAGACATGCAAAATGGGACAGAGGGAGTATATTTTACCAATCATGGTCATTGATTGTTTAACCAAATCAAATAATAGTCAAGTAAGTCAAAATTAACGAATAAATCGGGCCTAGTTGAGTGGTTAAAAAAAGAAAATCAAAGGAAGCTGAAAGCTCTCCAATCTTCGTCCATCATCTGCTCATGCAGACAATAATTGCAGTCCCGTGCCGAAAAAGCCGTTGCCTTGCGTTGCTTCAATTGGTTCTGGTGTAACTTTTGATGCAGCCATTACATTTTCCAATTATGTGCAGTCTATGCCATCCACCACCCCCAGTCCCATCTGCAGGGTGGATTCATAAATTGATACGAATGAAGCAATTGAAAGCCAAACCCCAAAAGTAAAAGTTCACGAAAAGTATATATGTTGAATTGAAGCTGCCAATTCAACGTAACCTCAGCGCCCACCTGCAGCAAACCCACTTCTTTCCGCCACAAAAGCGCTAAGCCATCAGCTTGTGTCTCCACTCCAGTCGACCCTTCACTGACGTACTATATATACGGAGACAGGATCAAGTGAGAACATGATCATATGTAAAAAGTAAAAATTAATCTCAATGTTCATTAAGTTCATTAATTAATTGCTGAGCGTTTTATTAGGCAAGAAAAACTACCAATCAATTTTATAATTATTGAATATTTGTAAAAGTACTGTTCATTTTATAATTATTGCAAACTTAGAAATTTAATAATTGTAAAATCTTAACATTTGATTTCTCAGATCAAATGTGACCCTAGATAAATTCAAATGTGACCCTAAGATAAAAGATTACAAGAAGATAAACCAATTTAAGTTGTCCATAACTAATCGGTTCAAATCAAGAAGGTTAGTAGACAATTTCTATAAAAAAAAAAAACAACTAAAAACCTTATTGTTACGAATGTCTCAGTAAGTTGGTTGGGCTTACCAAACACCGAAGATTCTGTTCGTATATATGTATGCTTGTGGTGATAGATGTTGAAATTTGCTGCAATATGTACCATCCAACACAATTCGCGGTTGTCCTTTATTTTATTTTATTTTATTTTATTGTATTTTTATACATTAGCTTTCCCAATTTACATTACATTAAAACATGTCCATTCAACCTACAAAGGAGTCTTAATCTTTTACATCCTCCCAAATGCTCTGTCGGGCCGGGGTGTGGGGCCCTAAGGGTTGGAATTTAGCCTTTTGGAAGGAGGAGTCTTAATCCTAAGCCTGCCTGTAGACTGCACCAGGAGTCTTCATCACCTCTAATTAATTTATTTTGATCAATTTTTTGTGCTTTGGATCTCCTATTGACAATCCATGTCTTTAGTGCAGTGGGACATGGAATCAAACCCATCCTCTCAATGGTCCATTTCTTTGTGCAAAGTAGTGCTGCCAATTCAACAGGGCGGCTATAAACTAAGAGAATCTAAGATTTCCAAAACTTCGATCAGTGGATGGGAGCTAATATTGTTAACATGTGCCGGCCTGCAGCAACGTAACTTTACAAGAAGGTAAGTAGCACGCCTGAAAAGCCAATGGTAGTGAACTGAGTGTGGGTGGGGGGGGGTGCATAGATTTCCCTCCATGCTCCACTAGCAAGTAGCGACGTAATCTCTTAACCAGATCAGATAACCATCGTTACCAGCTGAGAAATTGGTGGAAAGAGGGGCGGGCTAATATTCAAAGCTCGACTTTATTTTCTTATAATAATTATAGGTTTCTCTTGTTATATATTCAAAATATAAATATATTTATATACACAAAACTCGCAATTGATCAATAGATGGAATATAACAACATACGTACAAGTTGTGAATTATATTGCTATATATATATATATATATATATATATATATATATATATATATATATCAAATGATAATATTCATCTTGACCATAACCTCCGATATGACTGTCACATTAGCATATGGAAGTACCCGGCTTAAAAAAAAAATAGTAACAATGCAAACAAAAAAGGAAACACACTGAAAAGGAAAAACACAAACTAAAGATACTATATTATATTACCAGAAATAAACGTTATATCTAATAGTGAAGGTGCCAACATTAGATGTCACGTTTTGATGACAGAATGCTGAGCTCAGCCCTCCAACCTCCCAAAACATATATATAGTAGGGTGAGTAATTATTATATATAATTATGAATTTATGTTTTGTTGGGCATTGATAATTTTATTATTGAGTGGCATCCTGATCTCCAACTGCATCATCCACATTGGCTTGTCTGTTCCCAACCAGATTTAGTCCAAAATGAGTGTGAGGAAAATGTGCCCACTGCAATTACCATTTAGTTACCAATTAGTATATTTTAGTCAACTTATAATGAAATTTACATACAAAAATGTCAAAGGGATGAAAAAAAAAAAGAAGAAGAATCCCTAACAATTAATGATTGAGCATCACAAAGTTACCAATGACCTTGTGGTCTAGTGACACGAAGTCGCTCTTCCAAATGGGAAGTCATGGGTTCAATCGCTAATGAAGGCGATATTGACTCTTAGTCTATTTACTTATTACCAATAAAAGAAGACAGCCTCCCCCCCCCGCCCCCGGTCCACCCCACACACACACCCCAACCCGACAGAGTATTTGGGCAAAGTACGGCGACTCAATGGCTAAAAGAAAACAGCCCCCTCCCCCACCTCGACAGAGTACTGGGTAAATTACAGCGACCCAATGGCTAAAAGAAGACAGCCTCCCCCTCCCCCCCGCGCGACAGTTTATTTGAGTAAATTACGGCGACCCAATAACTTTTGAGCAAATGTTCGAACATTGGTTGAGCTAAACCCGTGCGGGCAATATATATATACTATCTACTTTTTAAGATGGTTGCTAGAAAGGATAGAGTATTTATAAAAATAAAAAAATAAAAAAAGTAAATAAATAAATAAAGTTAAGGATACCTAACGGAAATGTATATTCAGGAAAAGTTTCCAACTTTATTTAATTAAAATAAAATATACGGAGTGATGGGTTTTCTTGAAAATGTATTAGTAGTAGCCATCCAACCGAGTAGGGTTTCTGGTCAAAAGGAAAGTGGAAAAAAGGAGTAATATAATATTGCTCGCAGTGTTACGTTGCAAACTGGCATCTTTTTGTTCCCCTCACTAGCAGCATGTATATATTCAATGAAGACAGCCAAGAAATTAAACCAAAAAAAAATATATAATACAAGTAATAATATCATTTTCAATAATATCTTAACAGTAGTAATTGGTTCAATTTTATTTTATTTTTCTGCTGTAATAATAACTTACATTTTTTGCAGCAGCGCTAAAGGCTTCTTTGTGGCTAATTTTTGGATTGTTTGATTTTATCCTATGGATCTCCTCCCTACCAATCAAATTAAACGACATCATCATACTCTCTTCACACACACACACACACACACACACACATATATATATAGGCTTGTGTTCATATACCAACACTTCCTTAACTGAGAACGTGCCACCAAACATGAATACACACAATTTACTCCAAGATTTTCATCATCATCGAGACATGTCTGGAAGTAGATTGTGTGCATTTATTCTTGTTCGCACATTCTCATCTAATAAGTGTTCTCATATGATCTTGAGCGCGCGCGTGCGCGCGCGCGCACACACACACACACATATATATATATATATACTAATGTTCAAGTACATTCACTTGTTCCCGTGAGTCGCGTGAAACCCTTCAAAATGCACAAAATTTACTATAAGAATGCACAAAAGGTAAATTGTGTGCATTCATGTTGAGCAAATTGTACACAATCTAGTCTGTGTGCATTCGTGTAGTACATTGTACGAAGGGTCTCACGGAACTCACAAGAAAATGTGGTCTCATTTGATATATATATGCTAAGGATCCTGTAAGAACAGTACCATAGAAGAAAAGTAAGAATCAATCTCAGTCTTACATCTGTAAAATTTTGATGGATCTAATCAGATTAAAAAAAAAAAAAAAAAAAAAAAACGCGATTGTGTTTTCGTAATTATCATCAACTTCACTATGCAAACTTGAACACCTGAATATCCAATCTTTAACAACAAAATATGCTAACCTGATAAATTTTATAAAATCAATGAAAAAGCTAAATTTTAAATCTAAACCGTAAATGTTAGATCTTAGTCCTTGAGCAGTAAAAAGTGAACCACTAAACGAAATAAAACAAAAAACTCAGTCATAAACTTTAAAATCGAAATCCTAAGTGCAATACATTTTTGCATGTGCAATCTTTTAATACTGAATGTGCAAAATGTTAATACTAGTTGTGCAAACTTGGAAAAGTATGAGAATTGCATATTTTAGTGTTGAAGTTTGCATAGTTCAATTCGTAACAATTACAAAAATGCCACTATTTTTTTTTAAAAAATTTGATCTGATCCGTCTGATTTTTTCAAATGTAAGTTGAGATTGTTTATTGTTTCTCTCCTATGAACTTGTTCTCATTTGATCCAACACACACACACACACACACACACACACACACACACACACACACACACATATATTTAGGATAATCATATGAGAACACTTGCTTAGGTGAGAACGTGAGTACAAATCGTGTGCATCCATTTAATATTTTTTAATGGTCTAGATTAGATTAAGTGTGTTTGAACGCGAATTAAATGTGTGCAAACGCGATTAAGTGCGTTTGGACACAATCGCAATCGCACACACTGAATCTAATCTAGACAATTAGATGGATGCACACGATTTGTTCTCACGTTCTCACCTAAGCAAGTGTTCTCATTGGAACCCTCCTCTCTATATATATATAGTTGAATAAATTTAATAAAATCAACTTAAATTAGATTTTAGAAATGTAATTACAATATCCAACTTACTTGATGAATCGGTTGTATGCAGAAGGAGCACGTTGTCTCTTCTCTAAGGCTGCATAAAATGATATAACATTAATAGATGAAAAATAGGCACAAACACGTATACATACACTAATGAATATAATTAATTGCACGATAGTAACGAATAACATCAATTACAATAATAAACTATAAATAACATAAAAAAATGTAACTTAGTTATAATGAAACAAATTAAAATTTCAATAATTTCATAACATATTACTATATGCCAAGAATATACAATAGAATATAGAGTTGTGTCCATGGAAATTGGAATATATGTACACTGCAATCTACATACTTCCATACCCACCACCATCATCCAAGAAACTGGAGGTGCGTGAGTTGCATAAAGATGCAATGTCACAATCAAATTAAAGTAGATAATAAAATTAAAGCAGATGAAGTATGATATGTGATTAAATAACTTAATCCTTTTTTTTTTTTTTAGCTGTACCAGGGTTTCCACCATCAACGTTTAAAGAGTCAAAGCAACTAAAACAATCAATATTAATCATAAAAAATCAAGAGTTAATCTAAGGGTGTGTTTGGTTGGTGGGTTTTGCCCAAAGGAATGGGTATGAAAGTGATTGTTGTTGTTTGGTTGATAGGTTTTTAGAACACTACTATGGGTTTCGAATACCCCATCAATTGAAAAACCCATACCCAAATACAATAAGGATTTCATTCCCTTATTCATTTTCAAGCACTACTATTAATAACCATTCTCATTCCACCCTACTACCAAACATGTTAAATACTTTCACCAAAATCCATTACCATTACCAAGTATTTGATACCCATTCCGATTTTGATTCCTATGTGCAAACCAAACACACCCTAAGTACTTATACAAGAGTCGTTGCACTTTGACAACCTTTGTACTTGGACTTAATATATAGCTACGGTAATAAGCAAGGGACACACGTACTTTAAATTTGTACTTATATTCGACCCTAGCTAAGAGTTCTATCTCTTGAAACTTACTACTCCATTCACAAGCGTTTTATGTATCTAAAAGCATTTCATAAACCTAAAAATTCTTCAAAAACCTCTTTCCTAATCAGGGAATGAAGAGGGAGATAAGGAATTCATCACTCAATCCTTCTTTTTAACTATATATGTTTTAATATTCAAACTTGCATTGTGTGTACATTATATGTAATATATATATATATATATATATATATATATATATATATATATATATGTACTCCAATAGTATGTATATATGCTTCAAATTACACCCACAAAGGCACAGAGGTATACATATATGAGAGAGAGAGAGAGAGAGAAAACTAACTGCGCATAGGAGTGAGTATAGATTGCTCAAGTAGTTGATCATGAGACTCAAATACACTAAACATGTTGCAGTTGTAATTAGATGGAACCGACCCCATGGCATCTTCAAATTGATGTTGTTCTTGTTGCTGCTCATTACAACAAACAATTTTGCATCAACATAAAAACTTACTAATACCCATTAATTTCTGGCCTAAGTTTCAATACAAAAAAAAAAAGGAGATTTGCGTGATTAATAAACTTTGATTAATTTGCAGGAAAGTTTGCAGCTGCTACACGAATGTATACTTTGGGTGAAACTGTTATGACCCGAGCAAGCTAACCACCTCAAACCGAAAAGGTCAATATGCAGGTTACTAAATCAACTACCCGATCAACTCTGCTGAATTGCCCCATGATTAATAAATTGTAACTTTAAGTAACAAAGTGTCTCATGCTATTCTTAATTAATAAATTGGAACTTTAAGTAACAAAGTGTCTCATGCTATTCTTATTTATATATATATATATATATATATATATATATATATATATATATATATATATATATATATTTATTTATTTATTTATTTATTTATGGTTACCTGGAAATCTTGGAGAGGGAAAGGGTGAAGCAAAGCTCCCACATCAACAGACAGCAAATTGGAGCAATGTCCACATCTCACCACCACAGTGTTAAGCATGCTGCTGATGCATGGCACACTAACCTAACAATGTTTGAACTCAACAAATTAACCACACCCATTCATTCAAATCACTAAGATTCTTTAATATATATATATATATATATATATATATATATATATATATATATATATATATATATATATATATACTATTGGAAATTATAGAATTTCCGACCACTTTCTATATACGCTAGTGGAAATTATAGAATTTCTGACCATCTGAAAGTGATCTACAAATTAAGTCGAAACTCTTGTTCCAACTACTTTTGGTATCCGGAAAAACCTTTATTGCTATTTACGATCACTTTTTGGTTTCAATTTGATTTAAGATCACTTTCAGGTGGTCGAAAATTTCACAATTTCTAGTGATATATGATTATATATTCTTGGAGCTCCCTTAATTCTAGCTAGGTTTTTGCTTTACTGTCTGGTGCAGTGGGGGATGGCTCTAGACCATTCATCAGATGCATTACAAACACCAAGGCCAGACAATTGTTAGTTCTTCATCATCAGATCATCAAAATAATACACATGTGTTTCTTCATGACAGGTGATTAATTAACATATAATATTTACACACACAAGTACACAACTGTGTGTGTTTTTCTCTCTGTAAAAAAATAAATAAAAAATTAACAGAGACTACACAACTGTGTGTGTTTTTGTCTCTGTAAAAAAAATAAATAAAAAATCAACAGAGACTCAGACTCTCATCAGTATTTTCACAGCCTGAACACCATGGTTAATAACCATACATGTGGTCATGGACTACCCTTTGAAGAAACTCATTTTTTTTTTTTTCCTGACTCTTTCTCCGCTGTATGTAGGATGGGAGATGATTAAATTATCCAGTGGGCACATAGCCATAGAACATGGGTGTGCAGAAGAATATAATCCACCATCCATTTTAGTTGCAAATTAAAATTAAAGTAATAAACTTACAAGGGTATTTATAAATAATTGGTATGTAATTTTAGAAATGCGGGAAATTAAAGCAGTCAAACTTGTTCTTACACCACTAGAAAACTCGAGATTTTCAACTATCCAAAAGTGACCAAACAATTAGTGTTAATTACATCATAATTTTTGACTAATTTTTTGGCGATCTGGAAAATTAATTAATTGGTTGTTTAATGTAAGTTTGTCACCAACAAAAACAGAAAACCCTAATTAATAAACTAAAAAATATCATTTGTGTTTACTTTATTTTCGCTATGTAGCTTTTACAAATGGAATATTATTTGTTTTCCCTAGCTTCTAGGTCATGGAGGCATAATTTTTAGAAAATTTTATTATACATGGTATAACTATACTAAGTATAAAATACAATATTTTCGAAAACTTAAACAATGTCTTATCTGCATTAAAAAAAAAAAAACAATGTCTTATCTACCACTATTTTAATAGTTATTTAACAGAAGATTGGGGGGAGGGGGTGTTTTTTGTCTATGGATATATAGATAGCTATTTTAGCTTCTCAGTTCCATCTTCTTCCCCTTATCAAAGTCTGAGCAGAAACCCTTTTTTTTTTGAAGAAAAATCAAGCCACAAAATCAAAATAAAACATAAAACTCAGATCGAGCTATGTTTTCCGTGCAAAGATTATATTCGGATCCCAAACAAATATAAACAAATTAAATATATACCTTATTAGTTTAAAAAAAAAAAAAAAACCAGAAATTAAATTTGCAAAAGAGGAAGTTCAGCACTGAAGATCAGAAAATCCCAAGAAGAAAAAACCCATCCAGATGGGAAAACCTGAAATTAACTGTTTGGTCTGGTTCTTGTGCTCCATGCACCGTGAACCTTAACAGCTAGTTGGAATGGATAATGAAGCAGAAACCAGTTAAGAAATATATACCGCAAGAATGGTGTTGCAGAAGCTGCAATTAACGTAACAAACCCGATCCGCGGAGGAGGTGGTGATATCGAGTGACATTTTTTTGGGGATAGATGTGGTTTGAATCTTGAATCTGCGGCGACAAGGAGATGAATAAAACTAAAAGAGGAGGGATAGGTATATTGTCCAAATCAGGAAGTTTTTGGCAGTTAAATTAGCTAGCTAGCTAAGTAGTAAGTAGCTTAGGCAGCTAGTTTCAATGACATTTTATCATCATAAGGTGAATTGAAATGTAGTAGCAGAATTAATTGAAATATATAAAGATGGAGGAAAGAGAGGCGGCTAATGGGAAGGAAGAACATTGAAGGATACATGTGGTGGGTATGTATGTATGTAGAGGTCAAGTGTAGAAAGGAACACTAGAGAAAAGATGATGAGGGGTGTATGGACTTGGGATGGGATGGAAATCTCTCTTCTTTGGGTTTTTCTTTAAGTGTGACATACATTTGGAAAGGGGTCGAATTGAAACGGTTAAGATCAATTAAGTGAGTATTACATTTGGCCGCTCCACTAAGTTGGTCAGATTGTTGACTTGATAACCACAAGATTATAAATTTGACTCTTAACAAGAGTAGCCTACCTTTGCCTACTAGAATCATAAGACAAGGCAGCCTATTTTCTTGATTTGAGCCGGTTAGTTGGTTTACCTGACGGGTGTATCTCTATATATATGGTCCTTTGCCTACTAGGGTTATAAGGTAGAGCGGCCTATATATTGGTCTTCTTGGTTTGAACTGATCAGTTAGTTTACCTAACGAGTGTACCTCATTGTGGTCTTTTGCCTACTAGCTAGGGTTATAAGGCGAGGCGATCTATTGGTTTTCTTGATTTGGATCAGCCAGTTGGTTTATTGACACTCACTTTATTATTATTTTTTTATTTATTGCGTATAATCAAGTTTAGTTTTTGTGTTTCTTCTCCTTCTTTTAGATAAATTGGAGAGGAAACACTTCAAGAAATTAGTTCAAGTGACAAACTTTACGCTATTGGGGAATGCTCATAAAATCATCATTGAGAATCCTTTGAAGAAGAGGATAAGGATTTTCGAACACTTATACACCTAGGGTATACTTGATGAAAAAATCAATTAGAAAGTCAATTGCTTTATTCTACTCATCACGAAAGACATGGACCAAGTGAACATCTCATTACCTTCACGTCTCACACTTTCAAGCTTCTAGTCATTGATTAACTTGGAGATTGAAAGTGAAGAAAGAGCGGAAAAATTGAAGGAGAATTTGAAGAAATGTAATGAAGAAAACCACTATAAATTTCTATGGTTGAGACGAAAGGGGAGAACCAATTTTGCGTATTCTTTATATTTTTTTCCATAATAAAAAATGGCTTGTGAATTGACGCTAAGGTTGCGTTTGGAAGCCTGAAAAATAATTTTTGGAAATTATTTTTCGGGTTTCTAGTGTTTGGCTAGAGGGGAAAAATGGAAGTCAATGAAAAATATGGGTATGGTTAATGTAAAATAGAAGAGATTTTCTGAAAAATGACTTCTCCTGTTTTTTGGGAAGTCATTTTTCGTTTGCAGCAGTGGAACAGCCAATCACCCGCTGCCGCCACCTCCACTACCACCACCATCCCCTACCCACCACCCACCACCCACCACCCACCACCCACCACCACTATCATTGTATATTTTAAATACCTAAAATTAAAAATAATTATGTTCATTTTTCAGAAAATGAACCAAACACACTAAGGGTGTGTTTGGTTGGTGGGTTTTGCCCATAGGAATGGGTATGAAAGTGATTGTTATTGTTTGGTTGATAGGTTTTTAGAACACTACCATGGGTTTCGAATACCCCATCAATTGAAAAACTCATACCCAAATAATAAGGGTTTCATTCCCTTATTCATTTTCAAGCACTACTATTAGTAACCATTCCCATTCCACCCTACTACCAAACATGTTAAATACTTTCACCAAAACTCATTACCATTACCAAGTATTTGATACCCATTCCGATTCCGATTCCTATGTGCGAACCAAACACACCCTAAGACAGTTTTCTGGAATAATACAACCAAAAACTGGAAAAGAAAATATTTTATGAAAAATGACTCATTTTCTAGAAAACATTTTCCAGAAGTCATTTTTCTACTTTTCAACACACCCCAAGTAGAATTTATCAAAATTGCTATGATTAATTAGAAAAAAAAAAAAAACTAAAAATACAAAAATTATATCCAAGACACTTTTAGAATCAATAGTTATTTAAATAGACAACCCCTATCAAGTTGGTCAGACTGTTAGAGTCGGACCACTATATACTTGCAAGTCACTATATACATAGTAATCAACGTCATATTTAATTTTGATGATAAGATTTTGAGCTTGGTCTTATAGGCTTTCTCTCAACAATGGATAATGCCATTATAAATAGAAGAGAAAAAAATACTTCAAAATAAATTACTCAAAAGAGGTACTTACAATTCAGCAAAGAGATTAGTCACTGTATCTGACGGTGAAAATTTTGGGTACAATCAAAAAAGTAATGATGGTGCGCATGTGTTTGATTACACACTTAAAAGTTACTGTGGGAACAAGAATACAACTAAGAAATGTGACCATAACGATTTGGTGTTAAAATTTAGTAGATCGATCTATAGTTGATGACTAGTTGTAATCTAACCAATTGTTATAATATGGACAAAGTCATCTTGTATTTTGGATACTGTTCCAAAAATTGTGTCACAAATTTTGTATATACACTATACAGTTAACATTTTATTTGCATATAAAAAAATTGAAGACACATAACATTTTAACTATAAACAAATTAAATAATATGGTAACTATAAACACATAATATGTTAACTGCAAACACATAATATATATGCTGTTAAAATATTATGTTTCTGCAGTTAACATATTATGTGTCTATAATTACCATGCTATATATGTATCTGCAATTAACATGTTATGTGCCTTCAATTAATTTATAAGTACATAAACTAATTGTTAACTACGAGTACAAAATATATCAACTATAGACACATAATTTAAAATTTTTATTTAAAACCAAGATCTACAATACAAAGTAGACCATGATCCATAGTATAATTTGCCATTATCTAACACAATGGGCCTTTATAGTTTAACAGAAGCTCGAACTCACAACCTCACATATGAGAGTCTAACCCGGATGCTATCTGAACACAAGGTGCTTGGCAACTAGTTTTTATTTATTTATTATAGTTTTAAAATTCAATGAATTCTATATATATACCGACAAATTATGTCAAAATCATAAAGTTACACTATATAATTTATTATTTTAATCATAAGATCTTCATTTTCATGCGTTCGATAAATACAATACTTGAATTGGAGGGTCGAGTTCAATATTCTGTTATGTAAATAGGCCATTAAATGCTACGCAAGTATAATGAAAATAAAGTTGTGCGTTCGCTACTAACAATTGCGTCCACCCCGAGTAATTATGATTGCTGTAATTTGGGGCAAACAAATAATACCCGGAGTATTCGGGTTATCGAACCATAGGGAGATGGGGTACTAATCACTAACTACTAGGTTACTCATATGAAACTAGTCCGAACAAAACTTGAAGGATGGTTGATTGCATAAAATAACAAGCAGAATAAAACAAATAACAAGGTTTTGTAGACAATAGAGCAAAATAGGATTCCTGGGATCACAATGTTTAATCACCTAGTGCCAATTAACGTTAGTAATATTTAGTTTGGAATTATGATTTGTATGGGAATGCAAAGTGGAATCGAATTACTCCCGTAATCTCTATTCCTAGTGAATTTCCACTCCCATGGCTTAAACACCCAATAAGATCGAAGATCAGCACTCAATTATTCCTAATTACTACCATCTCCCGATGAGCAATAATCTAGAATAAACTTCCCCTAATAAGTTCCCCTTTCCCAAGGACCAACCATTAAGTGCAATCGTGTGTGCCCTAATTTATGCCCCAACTCCCATTGGTGACACAAACATGACTGTGAAGCTAGTAATTTAGGTCTTTAACTACCAACAACAACAGATTAAAACAAGATTGCAACACAAATCATAAAACCAAACATAAATATATTAAGAAATTAACGAACTAGGCACATAGGTTCATAAACAAATTCACCCAAAAATCCTTAAAGAATTTAGCCGAGCATGGCTAAATTATAGATAGCAAATATGAATAAAGGATTACAAATCATCAAAAGAGTACAAGAATTAACCAAGCGATTCTCCCAAATCTCCTTGGCTTCCTCCTTGCTTCCAAAGACAACTTGAGCCTCTTGATTTCTCTCTTTCTTGTCTACAAAGAACTCTAAAAATCTCTCGATATGTTATTAGGGTTGAGGAAGGAGAGATTTTATAGTGGGTACAAAGTTGAGATGAAATAGGAATCTTGTACAAGATTGGACTCAAATTATAATTCCTATAAATTAAATAAGAAATTGCCGTCCCACTTAATTGGAATATTTTCTATTTTTTTTGATTTTGGAAACTTAAATAAAGCTTTGGAAATTGAAATTGAATTGGAAATTGAAATTGAATTGGAAGTTGAAGATGCTGAAGCCAACGCCCTTTTGTAATTAAGCTGGCGACTTCGTGCTTCGCTCGACGCGTCGAGACCAGCAGGTCTCGATCACAAAATATTCTGGAAATTTTCGACGCGTCGAGTCCTCTGGGCTCCGAACTTGTCCAAAATTGCTCCAAACTCATCCTTGAACTTCCCTTGCTCATAGAATTGACCTACAATGGTTCAAAAACACTAACAAACACCGTAAAACATTCAAAACAAGTGTGAACCATAATTAAATGATAATAGCAAGGAAAATATGTATTAAATAAGCAAAATTAAAGAACTCAAATACTGAGATGATTCAAAATAACTATAAAAACAAGCAAAGATGTGATAACATCACACCCTCACACTTAAGCTTTTGCTTGTCCTCAAGCAAAACTAAGGAATAAAATCACAAGTCAAAACATACAAATTACTCATGCTCTCTCTTGCACAACCTTTCAAACCACCAACCCACTTGCTACAAAACAACAAGCTTCAAGAATCAAATTAGTTTGGCACATAAGAGACCCATTTCCAAACCAATAACCGAGCACCAAGAATTTAAAGTATGTGAGGATCAAGTGTGCACAAATACTCCGTTGAGATTATGCAAGACACGGTTCATGAATGAGATCCCATAGGCTTGCCTTTCATACTCCCCTAGATCAAATCTAAGAATGCATGCTAAGATCAAATAGGACTTTATTAAGCTTGTAATGGGGCTACGGGTGATGGCTAACAAAGAAGTGGTATGGAAAAATTAATCAAAAAGAGACAATGTCACAATTTATCTAAACTTTTCAAAAATTTGGAAGAGATGAGATAATCATAATT